GCCTCAGCCTCCCAAGTAGCTGGGACTACAGGCGCCCACCACAACACCTGGCTATTTTTTGGTTGCAGCCATCATTGTTGTTTGGCAGGCCCAGGCTGGATTCGAACCCGCCAGCTCAGGTGTACTTAGCCGCTTGAGCCACAGGCGCCAAGCTGAGACAAGTTTCTTTACATTTATCATAATAGGTACGGTTCATCCCCCGGGAAAGTCTGGAAAGTTCTTAGTATGTGTAATTTAAGCACAAAAGGAAATATTATACTTTGTTAATGAATCATTTTTTCCCAAGAGAAAGGGAAAAAAAGAGATTAATTACATGGAGAATGTTTAGGAAAAAGGAAAAAAGAAAAAATTACATGGTAGGTGCCAGAAATTCCTGGGAACTATAAACAGAAATTTGATCAAAGATATCTCAGGCTGAAGAGAAACTGATTCATCTGGCTTGAGCCAAGTGCCTATGAACCACTTTCATTATAGTAATGTGAGGGGGAGGGGACCATTCTGAGAAATAGAGCTAGGGATGGGGAAAGAAAATTATTTTGGCTCGGCGGCCATAGCTCAGGGGTTACAGTGCCAGGGCTGGCAGGTTCGAACCTGGCCCAGGCCTGCTAAACAACAATGACAACTACAACAACAAGGACAACAAAAAATAGCCAGGTGTTGTGGTGGGCACCTGTAGTCCCAGCTACTTGGGAGGCTGAGGCAAGATAATTGCTTAAGCCCAAGAGTTTGAGGTTGCTGTGAGCTTTGATGACACAGCACTCTACCAAGGGCAACATAATGAGAATCTGTTTCGAAAAAAAAAGAAAGAAAATTATTTTCTGGATTCTTTACAGTGTATTTACAATGTTTTAGACTCCTCGGCAGGAGCGAAACTATTACATATTGCTTACCAAAAACATAACATGATAATATTTGAATAGTCAGTGATTTATGTATTTTCAATTTAGAAAAGCTAATAGAGGGATTCCCCACATTGAGATACAACTGAAAACATCAAAAGTATAAGGAAATGTTATAGATGTTTTATTCAAAAATATATTATTTTGCACTGAGTATTTCTTAAATTGTTTTTCCTGTGTGTTGAAATAAATACCTATTATTTATTATGTCTTTTGATGAGATCCAAAGAGTTAAGCTTACTGTCCATGATATCACTCTGCTTCTTCTTGTAATTTTGTTTCTAGAAATAACCAGCAAGGGAAGTAGGACCACTTGGGTGGCAGAGAACAAGGGAAGCAACATTAGCATGGACACATTAGGAGACTCAGAAGCTAGTAATTCAGTTTTAACTTCCCCTGATTACAAAAGAAAAAAGTCATTCAATATTAGGTTGAAGGTTTTGTATTTCAACCTCCGTGTTTTCTCATGAACATGTTTCCTTAAAGCTGTCATTTTTTGGATTCATCACGAAGTGTCATATTCTGTACATTTGCAGCACATTCTTCTAATGAAATGGTTGACAGGTATGAAAAGACTTTTTCCATTAGCGGTTGCCTGAGAAAAGGCACTGGGGAGTTCTTTTTCACCAAAGAACCATCAGAAAACCAGTCCTCAGCCGCTTGTATACTTTGGCTGTAACAAGAATCAGATGGCAACGTTGATAAGCTTATGGTAACAGTGCTGCAATTTGTTGACGAGCTAGTCTCTGAGGGGTCACAAATGACCTTTTTTGTTGCAAGGCTGAATTCATCCGTAGAGTGATATTTACTTGCTGTAAAAAATAAGATTTACTATGAATATTATATATTCATAAGCCAAATCTTAATTATATGCTTCCAATGGACAATGATACAGGGCCAGGAAAATGCTATAAAGAAAATTCTTGAGTTGCTAGCATCATCCATGCAATGTTATATGTAATTGGCAATTAGCAATATTTTCATAATAGTCTAGAGTACAAAACTCTATATTCCTTTTTTTTTTTTT